GCTTACCACGTGGACATTGAGAGCGGCAGCAGCATCCCACATACTCTGAACGCGTGGTTTGTAAAACGTGCATGGGGGGAAACACGGAGGAGGCAGGGCAGAGGAGATGATTTCCTAGCATCCATTTCCACTAAAAAAATTATATTTATAAAAAATAGCAGATTTGCGACAGCCGGGAATCGAACCCGGGTCAACTGCTTGGAAGGCAGCTATGCTCACCACTATACCACTGTCGCTGTTGCTGTTGAGCAGTTTGCTGTTGACCCATTCATCATCATCATCACCACCACCATCAACATCGCGAGCCAGGCTCAATCCACTGCTTGATGAAGGCCTCCCCCCCTCATCCGTTGTCACACTCTCGATCTTGCGATGTTAAATTTTACCACTCACAGCTGATCTCCTGACTCCAGCTGTTAAAATAAATGAAAAAAACAACTCAGACTTGCGACAGCCGGGAATCGAACCCGGGTCAACTGCTTGGAAGGCAGCTATGCTCACCACTATACCACTGTCGCTGTTGCTGTTGAGCAGCTTGCTGTTGACCCACTCATAATCACCACCACCATCAGGCTCAATCCAGTGCTGGTGATGATGATGACGATGATGGTGATGATGACGATGGTGGTGGTGATGATGGTGGTGATGATGATGGTGGTGGTGGTGATGATGATGACGATGATGGTGGTGATGATGACGACGATGATGGTGGTGGTGATGATGATGGTGATAATGATGGTGGTGATAATGATAATGGTGGTGATGATGGTGATGATGATGGTGGTGGTGATGATGGTGGTGATGATGATGGTGGTGATGGTGGCGGTAATGATGATGGTGGTGATGATGGCGGTAATGATGATGGTGGTGATGATGATGGTGGTGATGATGATGGTGGTGGTGGTGGCGATGATGATGGTGGTGATAATGATGATGGTGGTGATAATGATGATGATGGTGGTGGTGATGATGGTGGTAGTGATGATGATGATGGTGGTGGTGATGATGATGGTGGTGGTGGTGATGATGATGGTGGTGATGATGATGGTGGTGATGGTGGTGGTGATGATGATGGTGGTGATGATGATGGTGGTGGTGGCGATGATGATGATGGTGGTGATGATGATGGTGGTGATAATGATGGTGGTGATGATGGTGGCGATGATGATGATAATAATGGTGGTGGTGATGATGATGATGGAGGTGGTGTAGTGGTGAGCATAGTTGCCTTGTGACCCGCATTCCATTCCCGGCTGTCGCAAGCCAGATCATGTTTTTGTTCATACGTGCACGCCTTGATTGTTTACACGCCTCGACGAACTTCTTTCGCACCGTACGTAGCCAACCGCGCCCAATCGGAGGTGCGGGCGGACAGACAACAAACAAACACAACAGCAAGCAGCAGCAGCAGCTCTAACGAGTTCGTCAATCCGTCGATGCATTCGTCAGCGTGGCCTCAACCGAGACAGACGCGTAAACAAACTATCTCAAGTAAGAGGCAACGTTTCGGGCAACGGGCCTTCTTCATAGCGCAGTGGAGTCTATGAAAAAAGGGTCTTGGGTGGGGCGGAGCCTATGCAGAAGGGGCGGTGTCAATGAAAGGGGGCGGGGTCTATGAAAGGGGGTAGGGCGGGGCGGAGTCTATGCAGAAGGGGCGGTGTCTATTAAAGGGGGCGAGGTCTATGAAAGGGGGCGGGGTCTATGAAAGGGGGCGGGGTATGTGTTGGAAGGGACCAGAGTTTCATATTCTTAGCTCTTTCGGTAAAGTCACGTTGAAGGGAAACAATAAAATAATAAAATATATAAAACAATTTAATAATAAAATATATATAACAAAAAATAATAAAATATGTATAAAACAATAAAAATTCTCACGACGTTTCGACCATAACACAAACGGCCGTCATCAGGTGTGTCGGTTTGCATAAATTTATTTATTTTTAAACGGCGTATTTATTTATTTATAAAAAAACGTCAGCGCCACGCGCAGCGATTTGGCAGTTTATTTAGGACTAGTCCATCTATGTTCTGAAAAGAGGAGGGGGGAGACGAATTTTTTTTTAATGTATGCTCTCTGAAAGCCACTGTAAGCGTGAACAATCAATTAAGACCTGAAATGGTTTATCAAATCCTTCCAATGATTGCTAAGCCAGAATCCATCTTCTCGGTTGAAATTGTCTCTGTGTTTGTATATGTGGATAGCCTCATGAACGAATCTCTCATGGTAGCCAGATGGCTTACAAAGAACCTCTGTCTTGGAGAAGTCAATGTCATGTGAGCCTACTGAATTATAACAATGATCTGCCATGGCCGAGGTGTTGGTCCTACCGTGTTTAAGGTCTGCTTTGTGTTCACGAATGCGGTCCGAGACATGGCGTTTGGTTTCTTAAAAGGGGGCGGAGGGTCTATAAAAAGTGGGCGGAAACTATTAATGGGGCGGAGTCTATAAAAGGGGGTGGGGTTTATGAAAAGGGATTCATTATTTTTTATTTAAAGCTTTCGTGACTGCAGGAATTAATATTCTTGGTTCTTTTGGTAAAGTCACTTTTTTCCAAATTTTCTTGCTGTGGTTTTCACACCTGATGATGATTGCTTGTGTTGCGGTCGAAACGTCGTGAGAATTTTATTGTTTTATATTTTTTATTTATTTTATTGTTTCCCTTCTTTGTGGTGGTGACTTTACCGAAATCACCAAGAATATGAATCCCTGCAGTCACGAAAGCTTAAAATCAAAACATGGGATTCATTCTATCAAAGGGGCGGAGTATATGGGGGGAAGGGGGCGGTGTCTACTGAAGGGGGCGTAGTCTAAGGACGGGGGCGGGGTCTATAAAAGGGGCAGGAACCTATCAGAGGGTGGAGTCTACTAGCCCCTCCCTACCCGCCGGTGACGTCAGCGAGCGCTGCAGGAAGTCGACTCACCGTCTCCACAGCACTGTACCGCACACTGTACGTGGTTGTTGTTTCTTCTCGAGCGCGTTCACATCGCGGTAGCGCTCGCCGTAGTGAGAGAGAGAGAGCGTTGTGGTGGTGGTGGTGCGGTAGTGGTGGTGCGGTAGTGGTGGTGGTGGTAGAAGTGGTGGTGGCAATAGTGGTGGTGGTAGTGGTGGTGGGGCGATAGTGGTAGTGGTGGCAATAGTGGTGGTGGGGTAGTGGTGGTGGGGTAGTGGTGGTGGGGTAGTGGTGGTGGTGGGGCGATAGTGGTGGTGGGGCGATAGTGGTGGTGGTGGGGCGGTAGTGGTGGTGGGGCGATAGTGGTGGTGGTGGGGCGATAGTGGTGGTGGTGGGGCGATAGTGGTGGGGCGGTAGTGGTGGTGGTGGGGCGGTGGTGGTGGTGGTGGGGCGGTGGTGGTGGTGGGGCGGTGGTGGTGGTGGTGGGGCGGTGGTGGTGGTGGTGGGGCGATAGTGGTGGTGGTGGGGCGATAGTGGTGGGGCGGTAGTGGTGGTGGTGGGGCGGTGGTGGTGGTGGTGGGGCGGTGGTGGTGGTGGGGCGGTGGTGGTGGTGGTGGGGCGATAGTGGTGGTGGTGGGGCGATAGTGGTGGGGCGGTAGTGGTGGTGGTGGGGCGGTGGTGGTGGTGGTGGGGCGGTGGTGGTGGTGGGGCGGTGGTGGTGGTGGTGGGGCAGTGGTGGTGGTGGGGCAGTGGTGGTGGTGGGGCGATAGTGGTGGTGGTGGGGCGATAGTGGTGGGGCGATAGTGGTGGTGGGGCGATAGTGGTGGTGGGGCGGTAGTGGTGGGGCGATAGTGGTGGTGGTGGGGCGGTGGTGGTGGTGGTGGGACGATAGTGGTGGTGGTGGGGCGATAGTGGTGGTGGTGGGGCGGTGGTGGTGGTGGTGACAGTGGTGGTGGTGGCAGTAACGGCGGCAGCGGTGGTGGTGGTGTTGGTGGTGGCTGCTCCTCTGGCTAAGCAGTAAACACAACATCACCACCATCACCTCGTCATGAAGAGGCGCGCGAAGTCTCGAGTTGACGCGTCGCTCACGGCTGCGAGTCTCGACCGCCGCTAACGCGTGCGGTGTCAACGCTTAACAATTATCACACCAACACACACACCAACACACACACACTCTCACACACGCCATCGCCACCTAAGAGTCAGCTGTGGTTTCAAGACTACAGCTGCTTTAGTGGGTGCTTGGTGGTGGGTGGTGGTGGTGGTGGTTATGAGCGGTGGTGCAGCGGTTAGCAGCTACGAACACGGCAGACGCTCACGGCCAACACCACCAGCGACTATCATCTCTAAACCCAGAGGCCCCGGGGCCTCTGCTAGGTCGACTCTGCCCTCAAAACGAGTCTGCGGTGCGTGGTGAACTTATCGCCACTCGGGGAGACAAAGGCGGCCCCTGGATGAGCGTGGTGCCGCCACAGTGCCTGTAGCCTTCGTAAGCTGCTACTGCTGCTGCTGCTGTTACTACTGCTGCTGCTGCTGTTACTGCTGCTGCTGTTGCTTGCTACTGCTGCTACTGCCTGCTGCTTGCTGCTACTGCTGATACCAGCTGCTACTGCTGCTGCTACTGCCTGCTGCTGCTACTGCTGATACCTGCTGCTACTGCCTGCTGCTGCTACTGCTGATACCTGCTGCTGCTACTGCTGCTACTACTGCTGCTACTACTGCTGATACCTGCTGCTGTTGCTGCTACTGCTGATACCTGCTGCTACTGCCTGCTGCTGCTACTGCTGATACCTGCTGCTGCTGCTACTGCTGCCTGCTGCTGCTACTGCTGCTGCTGCTTACTGCTGCTGCTACTGCTGCTGCTCCTGCTGATACCTGCTGCTGTTGCTGCTACTGCTGATACCTGCTGCTACTGCCTGCTGCTGATACTGCTGATACCTGCTGCTACTGCTGCTGCCTGCTGCTGCTGCTACTGCTACTTGCTGCTGCTACTGCCTGCTGCTGCCTACTGCTGCTGCTACTGCTGCTGCCTGCTGCTACTGCTGCTGCCTGCTGCTACTGCTGCTGCTACTACTACTGCTGCTGCTACTGCCTGCTGCTGCCTACTGCTGCTACTGCTGCTTGCTACTGCTGCTGCTACTCGCTACTAACAGCCACTTGCCCCGACAGTCTGCTGAAGGCTACACGGGGATATCTTTGATAAGCGTGTGGTGGTAGTGGTGATTATAAGTGGGTAGTCGTGGTAATTATAAGTGGGGTGGTGGTGATGGTGGTCAGTGCCGGATGAAGCTAGGTGCAGGGCCTCCATCATATGTTATAAAGAGGCCCTAAATTTTTTTTTTTTCAAAACGCATTAATATAACACAAATTTACTTTGCATAGTGAAGTAATTGTATTTATTAATTTGCTATACAGCCAGATAATACGACAAATCGCTAACCTTAAAGACCAAGTCGTTCATAAAAGCTGAAGGCGGTATAGTACTATAGTAATAGAGCAAGTGCAGAATCGCTGAACCAGAATTGTCAGCTGGAAAGCACGGGGCCTGGAGCATATGCAGCTACTTTTGCTACCAGGATAATCCGGCACTAGTGGTGGTGATAAGTGGGTGGTGGTTGTGGTGATAAGTGGGTGGTTGGTGATGGTTATACGTGGGTGGTGGTGGTGATTATAAGCGGGGGGTTAGTGATGGTCGTGGGCACAACAACAACAACACCACCCAACCTTGCCCCACCGCCACCGCCGCCACCACCACCGCCGCCGCCGCCGCAGACTCCGCCAACTCCGACGCGATGGAGGAAGAGGCGGCGCTCGTCCACTACCGCGACCTCCGCTGCGTCATCTGCCTCGAGCTCTTCGACTGGCCCATCACGCTGCCGTGCGGCCACACGTTCTGCCGGGCCTGCATCGCCGCCTCGTGGGCCGCCCAGCGCCGCTCGCCGGCCCACGCCTGCTGCACGTGCCCCGTGTGCCGCAAGGAGTACCCGCGCAAGCGGCGGCTCGCCAAGACGGTCGTGCTCGCCAACATGGTGGAGGAGGTGAAGAGGAGGCGGCGCAGGGTGGTGGCCCGCGGAGGAGGAGGAGGAGACGACGGAGACGACGACGTGGCGGCGGCGGCCGTGTCGTGCAAGAGCTGCCTCGGCGAAGACGTGCTGGCCGTCAAGACGTGCCTCAGGTACCGCGGCGGCGGTGGTGGTGGTTGTAGTGATGGGTCGTACCCAGGCCATGGTGATGGTCGTGGTTACCAAGTCTTGGCGGTGGTGATGGCGATAGTTGGGATCGGGTGGCGGTGGTAGTACCAGGCGGTGCTTGTAGGCTTCGCTATACACTACGTACTACCCTGTACACGACTATACACTTGAACCACGATGCTAAATTGAAAATGCATTGCTTTAGAACCGCTTGTTCTTGTGTTTAGTTTGTTGGCTACGCATTGCGCGAAATAAGTTCACCGGACGTACACTCCACATGCAAGGGGGTGGTGGCGAGGAGATGTTAACTACCTCGCCCGCTATGCAGGAGGTCGTACGCAGGGTTGTCGACGCCAACCCTTAGGCCGCCACCACCCCCTGCCGCGTGTGTCCGTTGCGTGCACTTTTTGTGCGGCAGGTGCGAGTCCGCTCTCTGCGAGGCCCACGTGAAACTCCACAGGCACGACCCGGCCTTCAGCGGCCATGTGCTGGCTCCGCTGGGCATCAACGTCGCCGCTCGCCGGTAAACCACCGCTTGGCTCGGCCATCGAACAACAACGCCGCTTTCAGATGCTGAATACGCTACACTATACACTACACTATACACTACACTATGCACTACACTATACACTACACTGCTGTACACTACACTGCTGTACACTACACCACTATACACTACACCACTATACACTACACTATACACTACACCAGACACGACTATACCCCACACCCTAAAGTGCTATACCCTACACTATACCCTACACTATGCGCTACACTATGCACTACACTATGCACTGCTATACACTCCGCTATACTACACTATACATGACTATACACTACAGGAGACACTACACTTTACACTGCTATACGCTACACTGCTATATGCTACACTAGACACTACACTGTACACTTCTTCTGGGATCCCGTGTAGTCGAGTCTGATTTCCCTCCAGGTGTCACTTGTCCGTGTTGTGAGGTGGACCTGGCAGGCCTTGGGTCCATAGATGGCTGAATAGGTCAATCCGTGACCTGCAGATCTTGACACAGTGGGGGCAGGGATGGTCCATCCTTGAGCTCCCACTCGTTGTTGTCTCTCTGGTGTGTGTGTGTTGTGGCGTGCTCTTTTCCTGGCTTTCAACTCTCTTCGCTCGGCCTCAGAATGCTGAGTTCCATTGTTTATTTTGGCCCTCCATGATGGTCTATCAAGAGCATAGATTTCCCAGTTGTTTGGATCTATGTGGCTTCGCTTGAGGTGCATTTTAAGGTTGTCACGGAAACTGCTTCCTTTGACCTCCGGGGGCAACGTGATCCATCCCTGAGCTGGGAATAGAAAATGTCCTTCGGGAAGCCTCGAGTCATTCACCCTCACAAGGTGACCTGCCCCTCTGAGTTGATACTTCATGATGATGGCCTCTATGCTGGATGAGTTGGATCGCTCCAGGACACTGATATTAGCTTGTCTTTCTTCCCAGGTGATGTTTAGTATTTTCCTGAGACCGCGTTGATGAAACATTTCGAGAGATTTTACGTGTTTACATAAGAGCGTTGGGATGATGACAGCATTATACACAGCCACTTTGGTCTTGGTGGTAATGCCGTGGTCTTCAAAGGCCCTGTTTATAAGTTTGCCAAATGCAGCACTAGCTCGGGCAATCCGATGTTGGATTTCATAATCAATTAAGAAATTGCTGGAGAGATGGCTGCCTAAGTATGGGAAACTGGGAACTTTTATAGTAGTGCATTGTTAGTAGTGATTGTAGGGGGTGGTAGGTGTCTTCCCGGAGCTTGTTGTAAAAGGTTTTTTGTTTTGCTGGTGTTCAATGTTAGAGACCTATCCTGCTGTAAGCAGGTCAACTTCTGAGCAGGCACTGACTTGGACATCGTCAGCATATTGGAATTCAATAACGGATATGATTGATGTTTACATCATTAGACCTCCTTTGCCAGTACCAAAATGTAATAATAGGGTTTTTCCGGCAACATAACGGACTGCAGGTATTGTGGTTAATGCAGACATGAATCCTTGTAAAAAGGTTTCAGTTTTGTTGCCAGAAAAAAAGGGAAAACCCCTGTTATTACATTTTGGTACTGGCAAAGGAGGTCGAATGATGTAGATCAGGGGTGTCCAAACTACGGCCCGCGGGCCAACTGTGGCCCGCGGTCCAGTTTTTATTGGCCCGCAGCAAATTCTGAAAATATAATTGAATATGGCCCGCACAAGAAGCTTGAGCTCAACTCTGTTGCACTTCTCAGTTTCAACACTAGATGGAGCCAGCCACGGGAAACCATGCTTCTCCACTAATCAAAATTAAGCAAAGAAAAACTTTTACCGCGAGTCACCAGAAATGGCAGCACCGAAGAAACGCAAAATAGCAAGTGAGTGTAGAAGATTTCAAACACGGTGGGAAAATGAATATTTTTTCAAAGAAATCAACGGAAAGTGTGTGTTTGATTTGCAATGAAGATGTTGCTGTGATGAAAGAGTATAATGTCCGTCAGCACTATGAGACCAGACATCAGAGCTACACATCGTACACCGGTGCCGAACGAACACAGAAAGTCAAGCAAATGGCGGCTAGCCTGCAAGCTCAACAACAATTTTTTTCTTGCTAACAAAATACAGAAAAACGCCACAAAAGCAAGCTATGAAGTCACTAAACTTATTGCCCAGCACGGCAAACCGTTCTCAGACGGTGATTTCATAAAGCAGTGCCTCATCAAAGTCACAGAAATAATGTGCCTGGAAAAAGTGCAGGATTTCAACAGCGTGAGCTTATCCAGAAATACGGTGGTGCGGAGAATCGAGGACTTGTCAGTTAACTTGAAACTTCAGCTGAGAGACAAAGCTTGTGCTTTTGATTTTTACTCGATAGCATGCGACGAGAGCACAGATGCCACAGACACCGCGCAGCTGTTAGTTTTTTTGCGGGGAGTAGATGAAAATTTTTGCTGTACGGAGGAACTGCTTGATATGATGAGCCTAAAAGGCACAACGACGGGTAGATATATTTTTGAAGCTGTGTCAGAGGCAGTTGAAAAGATGGGGCTTAAATGGGACAAGCTCTGTGGAGTAACAACGGATGGAGCTCCGGCCATGACGGGCGAGCGCAAAGGAATGGCGTCGATGGTGTGCGCCAAGGTAAAAGAGAGCAGAGGTGAGGCTGTTAGGATGCACTGTATAATCCACCAAGAAGCACTGTGTGCCAAGACTGTCCAGCTGGGCGATGTGATAAACACTGTTGTAAAAACTGTCAACATAATTCGAGCTAGAGGACTGTACCACAGATAATTTCAAGCTTTCCTATCTGATGTGGATGCTGAATACGGGGATGTACTCTACCACTCTGATGTGCGCTGGCTCAGCCGCGGCTCTGTGCTGCAGCGGTTTTATTCACTGAGATCAGAAATCGACCAGTTTTTGAAAGAGAAGGGCCGACCTCTTCATGAACTGAGTGACCCTCTGTGGCTGGCAGACCTGGCATTTTTAGTTGATCTTACTCATCATCTGAATGCACTGAACAAGAACCTACAAGGCAAAGAACAGCTGGTGCCACACCTGTATGCGCACATGAAAGCCTTCTGTGTAAAGCTCCGCCTGTTTGAGACAACTACGAAGCTTTAATGCTGCACACTTCCCTGCGCTGTCTGAAATCAAGTCTGCTTTTCCAAAGGCCGACCTTTCTGCTAAACAGGAGAAATATGTGTCTGTGATTGTATCTCTCGTGACAGAATTCAACCAGCGTTTCGAAGATTTTTCTGTCATTGAAAAACAAATCAAGCTGTTCTCAACCCCCTTCCTGGTGGATGCAGAAGAAGTGGAAGAGAGTCTGCAGTTAGAACTGATTGAAATGCAATGTGATGATTCTCTGAAGAGTCAACATCAGCTTCTCCCCCTCCCTGACTTCTATCAGAGTTTGGATAATACCAAGTTTCCTCTGATGAGACGCCACACAAAAAGAATGATGAGCCTGTTCGGCTCAACATACATATGTGAACAAACATTTTCTCTGTTAAATCAGAACCAAAGCAGACTGAGAACCAGAATGACTGATAGCCATCTCTGTGAAGTCCTTCGTGTCTCAACCATCAAACTTTCTCCTGACATGTCAGCCATCCTTCAATCCAAAGGACAGCATCACTGCTCCCACTGAGTGCAATGTTCTTCACATTATAGGTGAGTTAGAAATACACACAGTATTTATGTGTCAATATGTCACCTCTAGTGTGTGGCCCGGCCTTTTGTTTATTTTTATGTATTTGGCCCTCACTAAAAAAAACTTTGGACACCCCTGATGTAGATGCTCACCCCGAGCCCTCATTACTTTGATAGTGCATTGTCTTTGAGCTGTACGCCTTTTGGCGTCATCTGGTCGAGCACCAATTGGGTCGAGGCTCAAAAGAAAGCCGTCCCTTGGTGTGGACCAATCAGTTTCAAGGACAATGCATATATTATAATGTTTTTTTGTTTGTTTGCATTTTGACTGCAGGTATTGTGGTTAATGCAGACATGAATCCTTGTAAAAAGGTTTCAGTTTTGTTGCCAGAAAAAAAGGGAAAAACCCTATTATATAATTGATGTTTTCGACTTGGCTCTGAAACAGTTTATGTTGAAGATGTTTGCGTGAGTCCTGTATGTGATATTTATGCCTCTGGGAAGTCTGTCCTCTGTCCGATGAAGCATTCCCGCCAGGAAGATGGAGAAAATAGTTAGTGCAATAACGCAGCCTCGCTTCACACCAGTCCTTACTTCGCTTGGATCTGAGGTTTCACTATCCGAGAGGATGACAGCCTTCATACCGTCATGCAAAAGACGGAAGATGTTAACAAATTTTGTTGGGCAGCCATATCTTAGAAGGATTCTCCATAGTGTTTCACCATTTACAGATTCGAAAGCTTTAGTCAAATCGAAGAAGGTCATGTAACAATGGTAGTTCTCTGCTCCTGGCACTTCTCTTGAAGTTGAAGGGCTGAGAAGATCTTGCCTGAAGTGCCCCTGCCAGGTTGAAACCCACTCTGCGATTCAGGAAGGAGTTTTTCAGCAAGCGGTAGAAGTCTGTTCAGTAGGATTCTTGCCAGTATTTTTCCAGCAGTGGCAAGAAGAGAGATTCCTCTGTAGTTGTCAGCCTGACTTGTCACCTTTTTTGAAGATGGTGACAATGATGGCATCTTTCAGTTCGCTGGGAAGGTCTTCATCATTCCAGATCCTGGCCATGAGGGAGTGCAGGTGTTCTAGTCGGTGTTGTCATCCAGCAGGAATCTGGTCTAGCCCCCCACTAGCTTTTCTCTTTAATCTGCTTGACAGCTTTAGCCACTTCAAGCATCGTTGGTTCTCCAGCTAAATCCTCAGTCGTAGAGTGTTGCGGAATCTCACCGAATATAGAAGCGTCTACAACAGCGTTGCAGTTGAAAATAGTGCTAAAGTGTTCCTGCCAGCGGGAGATGATTGCATTTTTGTCTTTGAAGATTTCTGCCCCATGCTTTCCGCTTCTTGTCAATGAGGCCTGTGATTTCCTGGTCATTGTCATCAAACCAGTCACAGTTTTTTCTTCTTGTGTAGCCACCGGTGTTTTTACAGCTGCTTATACCTGCCATCTTCAGGTGTCCAGTACTCGTGAACATTTCCTGAAGCCTGGTTGGTGCTGAGTCTTTGAGTTAGTTCTTTCAGTCGGGCCTGTACTGCTGGATCTTTAATCTAATTACATTGAGTATTTTCCTCTGCAGCACCAGACATCCAGTGGCTCCGCCATATGCCGTTGGCCATCTGGACCATAGCTCATCCGCCCCACCGAGGTTGGCCATTGGTCACTTGGTATACACCCGGGATTTTATCAGGGTTTACTCCCTTAGCCTAAGTGGCTAACCAGAGCCCCGTTAACCATCACATTTCCAGGTGAGTCCAAAAAGGCCTTCATGGTTACCGAAGTGGCCCAGGTGGTCAAACCACCCACCATAATTTGCCCTGTCTAGCAATCCTGTACTTTACCTGTTACCACCTCCCACAACGTGGACGAGGGGTTGGTTTTTGGGAGGCACTATACACTATCCACTACTATACCCTACACTTTTGGCTAGCGATCGAACAAAGACGGCCACTGCATCATGCGCTTTCAGATGCTATATACACTACACTATACACTACTATACACTAAACTATACCCCATACTATAGAGTGAACTCTCAGTTTAACGGACGAATAGGGGGGATGGGGTGTCCGTAGAATCCGATTGTCCTTTAATGGCTAAATTTTGACGTATTTTGAGAACTAAGTCCACACCCTTTTACACCCAGATAAACAACTGTCCACTACTTTCATGTCTCCCACTTTCACCTACAGTAAGCACTTGTTAATTAGACACATACGGTGCTCTGGCCTTGCCGAATTATCCAATATTCCGAATTATGTACAATGGTAATCCCTACTGCCTCCTGCCGCGATAAAAAAAAATCTAAATTTATTTTCCAGAAGTTATTTCCACAAAACGTAAGACTTACCATTAATAACCAGCACTGCAGGCGAACTCTTGGATTTATCTCGCTGACTAAGGGATTTATACTCCAGTCCCTTTCTGTTACCGCTTGATGTAGGCGTAGACGACATTCCTGAGCGGGTTGGCTTGCACGTGCACATGAACAAGGTAAAGTCCCAAGTGACCGGGTCTCCCACTGATGCTCACCACGCGCACAGCCACCAACGCTCGCCACGCGTACTGCCACCAGACTGAGTCGTTGTTTTGGTGGTGGCGCGCGGCGTCGCTCCACGCGCTATGCCGAAATTGGACCATTCAGTATGACAATTCGCTCGTGGCGAATTGCTAATACACCGTATATATGCCGAAAGCGCACCCGTGCCACAATTATACACAAATTATGAATGATCAAATACCGAAATGACGAGGTTTTACTGTATTTTACACCAAAAAAACCCCACAGTGTAATAGAACACTGAGCCCATTAAGGGGAAGAAGCAAATATTGGCCGGACTAATCTCCGGACTTAGTCTGTTGTTTTGTGGGCAAAGTCCGACGTTATTGTTGTCTGATCTTCGGACACAAAACTCGGATTCGGCAGATCCTGTCCGTTAAATTCGAGATCTGCCGAATGGGGAGATACCGGTTAAACCGAGAGTTGACTGTACAGGTGACCCCCGACTTACGATGGGTCTACTTGCAACCCCTCGCCCCGCTTTTACGACCTTTTTTATGTAAGACCCCCACAGTATGATATATAGTGGTGTATAGTAGTGGAGTGTATAATAGTGGAGTGTAGTGTATAGTAGTGGAGTGTATATTAAGTAAAACCCCCACAGAAACGACCAAAACTCATGACTACGACCGCCTAATGGCTCCTACCGACGGCGTGACCTCTGGCGACGAGTCTGTACATATCATGCGCAGATGGGCAGCTTCGAATGGCACTGCTTTTCGGTTCTGGCGTGTGGGTATGTACAGTGTAGCCCGACAGTCTGCAGCTGCGCCAAGAGCGAACGCAGCATCTCTTTGGCAACGCTCTTCACTTTTGTCAATTTTCTTCAAATTTAGTGGAGGGAAAAAGAAAAAAAAATTCACTACTGCGTCTGAGAAGAGGAAATGTGGTGCACGTGCAGAAAAGCACTTAAGGATTTTCAAATGTATTTGTGTTTACTTAATAAATGTTTGCGAAAGTTGCGTTAAGTTACAATAAATGTCTGTTTGGGTTATTTTCATTTATTTTCCTGGTCAATTTTGGTATTTGTACAGTAGGTGATGGGTTTCCAGGAACGGAACTCCAAATTTATGACATTGCGCCTACGGAAAATAAGGGTTCTACTTACGACGGCTCGACTTTCGGCCGTTGTCCAGCAACCAATTAGGTCGCAGGTTTGGGGGTTGCCAGTGCACTACACTATACACTACGATACCCTACATTATACACTACACTGTACACCACACTTTTGGCTAACCATCGAACAAAGACAGTCACCGCATCCGCGCACTTTCAGATGCGCTTCTGCGGCCGTCTGAAACGATTTTCCTTTCGATATTAGGAAGCCACTGGAGCTATGCACTTGTAAATCATCATCATCATCTAGATTGACGAACTTATTTCTTTAGAGCTGCTTTTGGTGTTGAGTTTGTTGTCCTTCCTCCGCACCTCCTATTAACACGGTTGACTACGTACGGTCCGAAAGAAGTTCAACATACATACACTTACACTCTGCACTACATACTACACTATACACTACGATACGACACACAATACTATACACTACTATACAGTAGATCACGATACACTGCACTATACCCCACACTATGCACTACATTACGATACACTACACTATGATTCGCTACACCACTACGATAAAGGGGTTACTTATGCGGTCACGAAGAGTTGGGGGATGGGAGGTGGCCATGTTAGAGGGGGGTACTTAGGGGATGGGGGTGGTGCCGTTTCCTTTCAAATTGTGACACCGCCCGGACCCCGCCCCTCCCCCCACCCCAGGTGCACGGAGCATGGCGCGACACTCCGCTACTACTGCACCCGGGAGGGGCTGCTGGTGTGCTCCGACTGCTCGCTGTTCGGTACTCACAAGAACCACCAGCTGGTGGCGGCCAAGGACGAGTATGAGGAGAGGAAGGTGAGCCGGCGTGCATCGTCGTTAGTGGGTCTCTGTGGGTCTCTCTGGGTCTCTGTGTATCTCTGTGGTTCTCTGAGTGTGTGCCTCTGTGAGTCTCTGTGTATCGCCGTGGGTCTCTGTGGGTCTCTGTGGGTCTCTGTGGGTCTCTGTGGGTCTCTGTGGGTCTCTCTGGGTCTCTCTGGGTCTCTGTGTATCTCTGTGGGTCTCTGGGTCTCTGTGTGTCTCTCTGGGTCTCCGTGTATCTCTCTGGGTCTCTGTGTATCGCCGTGGGTCTCTGTGGGTCTCTGTGTATCTCTGTGGGTCGCCGTGTCTCTCTGGATCTCTCTGGGTCTCTGTGTGTCTCTCTGGGTCTCTGTGGGTCTCTGTGTATTTCTCTGGGTCTCGGTGTGTCTCTCTGGGTCTCTTGTGTATCGCCGTGTGCCTCTGTGGGTGTCTGTGTATCGCCGTGGGTCTCTGTGTGTCTCTCTGGGTCTCTGTGTATCTCTGTGGGTCTCTGGGTCTCTGTGTGTCTCTCTGGGTCTCTTGTGTATCGCCGTGTGCCTCTGTGGGTGTCTGTGTATCGCCGTGGGTCTCTGTGTGTCTCTCTGGGTCTCTGTGTATCTCTGTGGGTCTCTGGGTCTCTGTGTGTCTCTCTGGGTCTCTGCGTATCGCCGTGGGTCTCTGTGTGTCTCTCTGGGTCTCTGTGTATCTCTGTGGGTCTCTGGGTCTCTGTGTGTCTCTGTGGGTCTCCGTGTGCCTCTCTGGGTCTCTGTGTATCGCCGTGGTTCTCTGTGTGTCTCTCTGGGTCTCTGTGTATCTCTGTGGGTCTCTGGGTCTCTGTGTGGCTCTGTGTATTGCCGTGGGTGTCTGTGGGTCTCTGTGGGTCTCTCTGGGTCTCTGTGTATCTCTGTGGGTCTCTGTGTGTCTCTCTGGGTCTGTGTGTCTCTGGGTCTGTGTGTCTCTGGGTCTCTGTGTGTCTCTCTGTGTCTCTCTGGGTCTCTGTGTGTCTCTCTGGGTCTCTGTGTGTCTCTGTGGGTCTCTGTGTGTCTCTGTGGGTCTCTGTGTGTCTCTCTGGGTCTCTGTCTCTCTGGGTCTCTGTGTATCTCTCTGGGTCTCTGTGTCTCTCTGGATCTCTGTGTATCTCTCTGGGTGTCTGTGTATCTCTCTGGGTCTCTGTGTGTCTCTCTGGGTCTCTGTGGGTCTCTCTGGGTCTCTGTGTGTCTCTGTGGGTCTCTGTGTGTCTCTCTGGGTCTCTGTCTCTCTGGGTCTCTGTGTATCTCTCTGGGTCTCTGTGTCTCTCTGGGTCTCTGTGTGTCTCTCTGGGTCTCTGTGTGTCTCTCTGGGTCTCTGTGTGTCTCTCTGGGTCTCTGTGTGTCTCTCTGGGTCTCTGTGTATCTCTCTGGCTCTCTGTGTCTCTCTGGGTCTCTGTGTATCTCTCCGGGTCTCTCTGGGTCTCTGTGGGTCTCTCTGGGTGTCTGTGGGTCTCTGTATCGCCGTGGGTCTCTGTGGGTCTCTGTGTATCTATGTGGGTCTCTGTGCATCTCTCTGGGTCTCTGTGTATCTCTGTGGGTCTCTGTGTATCTCTGTGGGTCTCTGAGTCTGTGTGCCTCTGTGGGTATCTCTGTATCGCCGTGGGTCTCTGTGTGTCTCTCTGGGTCTCTTGTGTATCGCCGTGTGTCTCTCTGGGTCTCTGTGTATCGCCGTGTGCCTCTGTGGGTCTCTGTGTATCGCCGTGGGTCTCTGTGTCTCTCTGGGTCTCTGTGTATCTCTGTGGGTCTCTGGGTCTCTGTGTGTCTCTCTGGGTCTCTGTGTATCTCTGTGGGTCTCTGGGTCTCTGTGTGTCTCTGTGGGTCTCCGTGTGCCTCTGTGGGTCTCTGTGTATCGCCGTGGTTCTCTGTGGGTCTCTGTGTGTCTCTGGGTCTCTGTGTATCTCTGTGGGTCTCTGTGTATCTCTCTGGGTCTCTGTGTGTCTCTCTGGGTCTGTGTGTCTCTGTGTGTCTCTGTGGGTCTCCGTGTGCCTCTGTGGGTCTCTGCATATCGCCGTGGGTCTCTGTGTGTCTCTCTGGGTCTCTGTGTATCTCTGTGGGTCTCTGGGTCTCTGTGTGTCTCTGTGTATCACCGTGGGTCTCTGTGTATCGCCGTGGGTCTCTGTGTGGGTCTCTGTGTATCTCTGTGGGTCTCTGGGTCTCTGTGTGTCTCTGTGTATCGCCGTGGGTGTCTGTGGGTCTCTGTGTCTCTCTGGGTCTCTGTGTGTCTCTCTGGGTCTCTGTGTATCTCTCTGGGTCTCTGTGTGTCTCTCTGTGTCTCTCTGGGTCTCTGTGTGTCTCTTTGGGTCTCTGTATCTCTCTGGGTCTCTGTGTGTCTCTCTGGGTCTCTGTGTATCTCTCTGGGTCTCTGTGTGTCTCTGGGTCTCTGTGTATCTCTCCGGGTCTCTGTGTGTCTCTCTGGGTCTCTGTGTATCTCTCTGGGTCTCTGTGTATCTCTCTGGGTCTCTGTGTCTCTCTGGGTCTCTGTGTATCTCTCCGGGTCTCTGTGTATCTCTCCGGGTCTCTCTGGGTCTCTGTGAGTCTCTGTATCGCCGTGGGTCTCTGTGGGTCTCTGTGTATCTATGTGGGTCTCTGTGCATCTCTCTGGGTCTCTGTGTATCTCTGTGGGTCTCTGTGTATCTCTGTGGGTCTCTGAGTCTGTGTGCCTCTGTGGGCATCTCTGTATCGCCGTGGGTCTCTGTGTGTCTCTCTGGGTCTCTGTGTATCGCCGTGTGTCTCTCTGGGTCTCTGTGTGTCTCTGTGGGTCTCTGTGTGTCTCTCTGGGTCTCTGTGTCTCCGTGTGCCTCTGTGTGTCTCTCTGGGTCTCTGTGTATCTCTCTGGGTCTCTGTGTGTCTCTGGGTCTCTGTGTATCTCTCCGGGTCTCTGTGTGTCTCTCTGGGTCTCTGTGTATCTCTCTGGGTCTCTGTGTATCTCTCTGGGTCTCTGTGTCTCTCTGGGTCTCTGTGTATCTCTCCGGGTCTCTGTGTATCTCTCCGGGTCTCTCTGGGTCTCTGTGAGTCTCTGTATCGCCGTGGGTCTCTGTGGGTCTCTGTGTATCTATGTGGGTCTCTGTGCATCTCTCTGGGTCTCTGTGTATCTCTGTGGGTCTCTGTGTATCTCTGTGGGTCTCTGAGTCTGTGTGCCTCTGTGGGCATCTCTGTATCGCCGTGGGTCTCTGTGTGTCTCTCTGGGTCTCTGTGTATCGCCGTGTGTCTCTCTGGGTCTCTGTGTGTCTCTGTGGGTCTCTGTGTGTCTCTCTGGGTCTCTGTGTCTCCGTGTGCCTCTGTGTGTCTCTGTGGGTCTCTGTGTATCTCTGTGGGTCTCTGTGTATCGCCGTGTGTCTCTCTGGGTCTCTGTGTGTCTCTGTGTGTCTCTGGGTCTCTGTGGGTCTCTGTGGGTCTCTGTGGGTCTCTTTGTGTCTCTCTGGGTCTCTGTGCGTCTCTTTGGGTCTCTGTGTGTCTCTCTGGGTCTCTCTGGGTCTCTCTGTGTCTCTGTGTGTCTCCGTGGGTCTCTGTGTGCCTCTATGGGTTCGCAACCACTTACCGGTCGATTCCCCGACGTCTTCCCGGCGTTGCTTCCCCCAATTTCGTTGGCAGCTGCTGGTGACCATGGAGAGGGAGGGGAGGATCGACCGCAAGAAGAACTCTGAGTCCAAAGTGCACGAGCTGACGGCATTCCACGACCGAGTGGAGGTGACCAATACCCCCACTGATGCCCCCGCCATTGCCCCCGCCGATACCCCCACTGACGGGGTTGGGGTAATGGTAGTGATAGTGTTTGGGGTAGTGATAAGTTTATTGTAATTGGATAGGGTAGTGATAGTGGTTAGGGTAGTGATAGGGGTAATGATAGTGGATAGGGTTGTAATAGGACTAGTAATGGGGGTTGGGGTAGTGATAGTGGTTAGGGTAGTGATAGGGGTAGGGGTAGTGATATGAGTTGGGGTAGTAATAGAGTTCGGGGTAGGCTTAGTGTTGTTGTTGAGTCTCTTGGCATAAGGCGTTTGTTTCCCTGTACCAATTAACCGCATGGTCTCTCATCATCACTACGATCCATGGGCAGTAGGTTGTCAAGTGCCAACATGTACAAGTAGTGGTCATCATCTTCCATATGTAGAGGGGGTCTTTAAAGAGAAAGTGGTAAAGTGTATACTTTGAGATCATTAAGAAGAGGTGGCCCCTAAGGGTACTGTATAGATAATTAGTACAATAATACACAGACCGGAAGCAGGTGGATTGTTTCACTCTGCTGGAAAATCGCCGGATGATGCTGGATGTAATTACCAGCGAAACGTCGTACTACTTAAATTGTAAATGTTGTGGATTGACTCTCCAACACACCGGTGGGCTGAAGTAGTAAACTACACTATACACTATGCTAGTAACTAATTGGCACGTTGATTACGTGACAAACCTTCCTGGCTATGTCGGGTGGTGGAGGCTTACAACACATACTTGCGCGATCTAAGCCAAAAAACTTTATTATGATATATTGGTCACGAAATCCTACGTGTTAAACTGAATACACGCTGAGATCATGAAGAACTGGTAGCGCGTACGGTGCTGCATAGATAACACTGTGTGACAAAAACATTTTTTTTGTTATTTCTTAATTGCTTATGCCTCAGAAGTATAGAAAATGGCTATTATTCCCCACAAACTTTGCGTTTTGTGACTAGGACAGTGATATTTTTTAAATGTACCTATTTTCAAAGAGAGAACTTGTTGTGCATTTGTGTCATTCCTTCACGTAAAGTCCCGGTCACAAAAGCAAAGTTTGTGGGGAATAATAACCACTTTCTGTACTTTTGAGGCATAAGCAATTAGAAAATAACACTTACTACCCAGGAACAAAAATCTTTTACATAATGCCCATAAGGCAATGTATAGATAATTTATTAATTAATTGGCGTGCTGCGCGTTGAGATGATCGGTAACAGGTGGCTGAGGGGCGCCAGAAAGTTTTGTGGGGGAGGGGGTGGAGACAGTGCAACGTAGACGTTGAGATAATTGAAGGCACGTGCCGGAGTGGGGGGAGGGGCGTGGCCACTTTCTGATAGGGGCGGGGCCTGCTGGGGGTATATAAGGGGGGGGGCTTGGGGGAAGCGAAGCCACCGCAGTCTTGAGAGCAGGGACGCAGCAGAGCCGGTCTAGCAACGGTGGGCGCCATCGGTGCGTTCACGAAGCGACGAGGTGGGCCTGCCCCGACTGCCCACCCTCCCCCCGACTTGCCCCACAAGTAAAAACAAAAAACCGCCCGCGCGTCTTTCTTTAAGAAACCAACAAAGGCTTCGCCTCTTCCTTTTTTTTTTTGAATGAACCGTCTACCCAGGGGGAGGAGGAGGAGAAGGGAGCTCTCCTTTCGCATCGGTGTCTTTTGTCTCAAACTCCGCGAGCGCAGAGATACACGGACGCGATCAAGACGCGGGTGAGCGCCTTCTACGCCGTCAGCAAGCCGGCGGCGGCGGCGGCGGACGACGAGGAGGAGGAGGACGAGGTAGTCCGCGGGCTGGACGCGCAGTGCGGCCCCGTGCTCTACTCCACGCAGCTCGCGATCGAGCGCCACCGCAAGGAGATCGAAGCCCTCGGCTGCATCATCTCGCGCCTGGAGGCCCTGCTCGAGACGCACGACCCCATCGCCTTCCTGCAGGTGCGTGTTAGCCGACACGGTACACGACTATGCACCCCGGGGGCTGAACGATTTTGGGGGGAATGGCCGATTGCGTTTTTTTTTTCCTGACGGATGCGATTGCGATTCGATTTGCGATTTCTTCAATTTTTTTTTTAAAGTCAAGCTTCAGTTCTATAATTAACTGTGTAGATTTGAAGCTTTCGTGACTGCAGGAATCCATACTCTGGTTCCTCAGGACGACCGTATGTGTGGCGATCGAAACGTCGCGATCTATTATAATCTTTCTACGTGACTTTACCGAAAGAACCAATGAGTATTCACCTAATTGATTTAAAACATGTGATGGAGCGTTACCACGTGATACCATCAAAATATTAACTGCTCTATATTCTAATGCAAGGATGAGAACTTGAAAGATATGAATTGCTTCCAACATGTATTTATTAAAATGTTTTAATTTAAATATAACCATCACACATAGAACAGTTGTTTAGTTAAATAATTAAAGTTACGGTAATAAAAAAATAAAACAATTCCAATAAGAAAGTAATAGGACTTATCAAATCGCAAAAAAATCGCAGCCTTTGCGATTTGCTAATCACATTTTTTCAAATTGCGATTTCGATTTGAAATCGATTAATCGTTCAGCCCTACTATACACTACCCACTACGATACACTAATATATACTATACGCTACTATACACTACACACTACCCACTACGATACACTAATATATACTATACGCTACTATACACTACACACTACCCACTACGATACACTAATATATACTATACGCTACTACACTATACACTACCCACTACTATACACTAATATATACTATACACCGCTATACACTACTATATACTGTACAAATGTTCTTGCCGTTGGTTTTCACACCTGACGATGACTGCTTGTGTTGCAGTCGAAACGTCGTGGGAATTTTATTGTTTTATATATATTTTATTATTTTATTGTTTTCCTTCAACGCGACTTTACCGAAAGAACCAAGAATATATATAGAACCATAAAACACGATTCCGTTTTAGTTGAGTTCCTCTCCAGAGCCGAGCGAGAGTAAAACTCGCCTCTCACTTTTCTTCTCTTTTTGCAGGATCCGGTTCTCAACGAGCTTACGTGAGTCACGTTAACACCGATTCCCTCCCCCCCACCTGAAAACTCGCCTGTTTTCTATACGTTTCCTTTTGAAGGTGACAGACGCGCACACACGCGCGTGGCGTTCGCTGTTATTCACCCGGTCCGTGTTGGAGTCGCCGTCGTCGACTCTTCCCTTTTGCACCACCGCCAATGCGGCGGTTGCCGCCACCGGATAATTTGTTCCAATTGAGTCGTGGGTTTACACGTAGAATGGCCGTAGCGCCGGCGCCAATGGAGGCGCTGCTGCTGCTGCTGCTGCTGCTGCTGCCGTGCTTCTCGGGCGCAGCCCGCAACAATAAGTGCCTGCTTTGGCTCGCCCCACCGGTGCACGTCCAGGCTGGCGTGCTGTCGCTGGGGCGACACCGGTCCTGGCACTCTAGGCGGGGCGGTGGGGGTGGGGTGGCGGGCGCTTTACGTACGGAGCACACGCCATTAGAGCGTGGAGTGCGCCATTTTGTTTTCTATTGGACGGCCGTTGGAAGTTGAGCTGTACCTGCGCGCGCTCTCTCTCTGTCTTTCAGTAACGTGCCCGCCAAGGTGCACACCAAGGGCCTGCTGCTGTCCACCACAACGGACCTGGACAAGATCATCTCTCTGCAGAAGATCATGGGCACTCGTCCGCTGCCGCTCATCGCCGAGAGATGTGAGCACGCCGACGTAGCAGCGGCCAAGCCCGGGGTTGGGAAGAACCCAACCAGCTACCCATCCATATAAGCACCCAGCCACCCACGCAACTATCCAGCCCACCCACCCAGCCAGCTACCCACATAACCACTGAGCCAGCCACCCACACAACTATCCACCCAGCCACCCACACAACTATCCACCCAGCCACCCACACAACTATCCAGCCAGCCACCCACACAACTATCCACCCAGCCACCCACACAACTATCGACCAAGCCACCCACACAACTATCGACCCAGCCACCCACACAACTATCCAGCCACCCACCCACACAACTATCCACCCAGCCACCCACACAACTATGCACCAAGCCACCCACACAACTATCCACCCAGCCACCCACACAACTATCCAGCCACCTACCCAGTCAGCCACTCACATAACCACCCAGCCACCCACATAGCCACCCACCCACACGACCACCCAGCTACCCACCCACACGACCACCCACCCACACGACCACCCAGCCACCCACCCACACGACCACCCAGCCACCCACCCACACAACCACCCACCCACACAACCAGCCACCCACACGACCACCCAGCCACCCACCCACATGACCACCCAGCCACCCACCCACACAACCAGCCACCCACACGACCAGCCACCCACACGACCACCCAGCCACCCACCCACACGACCACCCACCCACACGACCACCCAGCCACCCACCCACATGACCACCCAGCCACCCACCCACACAACCAGCCACCCACACGACCGCCCGCCCACACGACCGCCCGCCCACTCGGCCTACGGCAGTGTGCAGCGTGTAGCACGTACATTGAACCTCTTTCGCTCTGTCCGTAGCCAACCGTGCTGACCGGAGGTTGCAACCCCCCCCCCCCCCCCCCCCCCCCCCCCCCAGACGGCTGCTCCCCGACGCTGGACCCGGCCACCGCGTCGCCGTGGCTGCGCGTCTCCCGCGACCTCAAGACCGTGATGGGCTCCCCGCCGCGCCAGCCGCCGCCCGACCACCCCGAGCGCTTCGACTGCTGGCACCCGCAGGTGCTGGGCGCCCGGCCGCTGGCGTCGGGCCGCCACTACTGGGAGGTGGACGTGGGCGGCGCGGGCTCGTGGCGCGTCGGCGTCGCCTACGGCTCCGTCCCGCGCAAGGGTCAGGGCGGCGTGTGCAAGCTGGGCGAGAACGGCGACTCGTGGTGCCTCTTCATGGACAACAGCGAGCTGACGGCTCGCCACGGCGGCGTGGGGACGCTGCTGCTGCTGCTGCGGCGGCGCCCGAACCCTCAGCAGCAGCAGCAGCTGCAGCAGCAGGGCGACGCCGGTGAAATCCCTGCGGCACCGGCGGCACCGGCGGCACCGGCGGCTGCACCGGCGGCGGCACCGGCGGCGGCGTTGGCACCGGCGCCGGCACCGGGGGCGGCGGCGGCGGTGGCGGTTCGCAAGGTGGGCGTCTTTCTGGACTGCGACGCGGGGGTGCTGTCCTTCTACCTGGCGGACGACATGACGCTGCTGCACACGTTCCACGCCAAGTTCACGCAGCCGCTCTTCCCCGCCCTCGCCGTGCTCGTGTGGGACGGCTCCCTCTCTATGGTGGAGCTCGAGTAGATTGGCGTGGTGGGGGGGGGGGGCGCGGGGATAGGGATAGGGGGGTGGGTATGGTGAGGGTGGGGGGGGGGGGTTGGGTAAGGTGAGGGTGGGGGGGGGTTGGGTAAGGTGGGGGCAAATGGGTGATGTCGGGGGGGGGGGGAAGGATGGGTAAGAGGGGGGGGATAAGGTGGGGGGGGGGGGATAGTTACATTGGGGCGGGGGTATGGGTAAGGTGGGGGGGGGGTATGGGTAAGGTGGGGGGATGGGTAAGGTGGGGGGGGGGGATGGGTAAGGTGGGGGGAGTAGGTAAGGTGGGGGGGGGGGATAGTTACATTGGGGCGGGGTTATGGGTAAGGTGGGGGGGGGGTAAGGTGGGGGGGGATAGTTACATTGGGGCGGCGGTATGGGTAAGGTGGGGGGGGGTAAGGTGGGGGGGGTAAGGTGGGGGGGGGTAAGGTGGGGGGGGGTAAGGTGGGAGGGGATAGTTACATTGGGGTGGGGGTATGGGTAAGGTGGGGGGGGGGGATGGGTAAGGTGGGGGGGGATGGGTAAGGTGGGAGGGGCGAGTAGGTGGTGGGTGTGAAGGTGGCGTAGTCCGTGAGCCAAGGGGCGTTTTAACCGCGTCCCCTGCGTCTGCCGTCGCGAAACGGAAATCTGTCAACACCCCCCCCCTCCCTCCCAACTCGCAGCTGGGTGGCACGCAGCCCCAGTCCACGTGCCTCTAGCTGCAGCACCGCCGCCTGCCGTGGGTTGACGAACAGCTGTTGGGAGGAGTCGCGGGGTTGGGGGGAGGGGGTAGGTAGAAGGTGCGAGTTGTCATCCGTGATCACCGGGTTCCCGATGATGAGTTTACAGGGATATAAAGATGTAAAAATAAACGTGTGCGAAAGATTTACTCCCCGTTGACTTACAATGGGGAGGGTTAGACTAAATAATGTATTGCTTTTAAGATGCTAGTTTGCGATGGCCCACCAGCTATTGACGAACGTGGTTGAATTTTATATTTTCGTGTTGCTGTTATTTGCACGTTGCTGTAACGGATGTTATCCAGTGTCGTCCAGAACGACATTTGGCGTAAGGAAGGTCGCAGTGTATCGCAGGAAGCAACTATTCACGGGTGAATGTTTATTTTGTTTTTTACTGGACGTTGTAACCTGTTGTTTTGTTGTTACCCGTTTAACTCTGCGGCCACCAGAGACCATGCTGGACATCTGCGAGGGGGGAAAAAAATCACTCTATAGCTCCATCGGATTTCCCACCGGTACAAATAAACATTCTGATTCTGAAACGGTGGGGGGAGGGGGCGGGAATGAGATGATGTTGGTTCATTCTATGCGCCAGGTGTGTTCCTGCAGTCTTGTTGGTATTAAATTCTCGTTTTAAAAAAAATCTCTACATGTGTGAATTCTTCTCCTGCTATCCCCAATATCCTGGCACTGCCACCCACCGGGGTTACCCTGCTGCTAGAGATGTAGCCTGGAATAAACCAAAAACATCAAATAACCTCCGATTTGGATTAACTAAAGCACACTCAGAAATCGATAGGCATGCCAAATAAGAAACACTTCATTTTTAAACTACCATCGGACGACGTTAAATTCACAGCGGCAACATGAAAGCCCCGGGACATTTCTGGCAAACGTTCAGCTCGGTTTGAAAAGGGGAAAAAAAATTCGAAATACTCTTCCAATAAGAAAAAAGCCGAACGGAAGGCACGGAAAGTGTTCACAAAACAAGACCGCGGCAATGGATTTAATTCTCATTTTGGATCGACAGGGACGCATCTTTGAAAGAAAAACTCACCAGAGTCAAATTTCTCCGAATTGCACCAGACGCCGTTCACATCGCCACCCTGTTGTATATGCCCCCCTTTCCATCTTAATATTAACAAGTAATTTTTCAATACATAGATACATATTTATATTGTTACTTTTAATAATGAATAAAAACACCAAACCAGGCCTCAGCATGGCATGTGGAGGTCATATTTACCTTGACCCACTAACACGATTTTGACGTTCAGAGCCCTCCCCAGGGTCAGAGGGAGCAGATAGAGAGCAGAGCGCAGCGGATTGCAAGAGGCTGACGTAAACACAAAGCCAGGGTCACTGGGAGGTTGCGTTAGCCTCGATCTAGTTAAGTCAAAAAAGCTAATTGGTTCTGCATTACTATTAAAGTAACTTAAAGTCGGAATTTAACGACAGGGTAGGCTAAAGTTATTGATCTTCACACCCACTTCAATTGAACCCTGCCACAAGCTACGTCAATGTAACCATCACCCGTCTATTAATTTAATATGAAATGCATTTCCATATTTTAATAATTTCTATACGACTTGACCCGAAGCCTATAACAATCAGGTTTTCCTAAGTCAACATAAATGCTCTAGCCTCCACCCATACGCAAATAATAAGCAGGGTTAAAGTAAGAGTAGAGAGGAAAAGAAATGCAAGCGCACAGCAAAACTGCAACATAAGCAAAGGGCGATGTTAAACCCAGGGTCGGAGAGAAAGGGAAATCCCGGCCGTCTTTGTATCCCTGCAGCGTGGGGTAGGAGTGTGTATACGCTTGGGGAAACACGAGTCAAACACCACAACGAGAAGCTGACTCAGACCTTGGATTAATACAGAATCATAACTGTGGAACTCTGATGAAATGAAATGTTAACTTAAAACTGTTTAACCATTTCTTTGTGCGTCGGTGAAAGTCGGAGGGAATATCGCCCCTCTCTCCAGGTTGTGCACCCAGACAGAGAGGCGCCTTCGAGACAATTTATAACATTTGATTGTTTTACTTGTGGGTTTTATGATAGGAGTATGACAACGGAATATACCGTGGGTGATGCACAAGGACACACACTGACATACGTACGGACACACACACGGACACCGATACATACGGACAAATCCTGACACAGCAAAAATCGAAAGAAACCCCGCCTTGTGGGCAGAATCCGAGTGAAGGGATTTTTGGGCATAAAAAGAGGATCCTGAGCATTGAAACCTCAGTTCGACTGGGGGGGGGGGGGGGGGGGGACGGCTCACCAGAGTTCGACCGGGGGGTCGACTCTCGGGAGACAGTTCGACTCGGAGGAGTTCATCTCGAGGGAGTTCGACCAGGGGGGGTCGGAACTCGGGGAGTTCGACCAGGGGGGTCGGAACTCGGGGAGTTCGACTCGGAGGGGTCGGAACGCGGGGAGTTCGACCAGGGGGGGTCGGAACTCGGGGAGTTCGACCAGGGGGGTCGGAACTCGGGGAGTTTGACTCGGAGGGGTCGGAACGCGGGCAGTTCGACCAGTGGGTCGGCTCAGGAGCAGTTCCAATCGGGAACGAGAGCAACAGGTCGCCAGCCGGCGAGCTGCAGAGCAGGGGACGGCGAGCAGAAGTCAAAGTGGCCCCGTCGCTACCCAATGACGTTGGCAAGACTCGCAGGGTAGTGAGGCGTCACCCTGTGTGATTTCCAAGAGCTGAAAGACAGAGTATTGCTGGAAGTTTATTCTACATTGAGTCCAGCTGCAGAGCGACCGACGCACCAAGGAAGAGCTTCTGCAAACCAGAGCAAGAGCATGTGCGACTTGAGTCATCCAGCAGTGGAGAAAAACCTGCTTTCAGCAAACCAGCAACGAGCACGTTCGAGTTCTCCACCCAGAGAGAGGGAGCGTGCCGATGCAGCACATCCAACAGCGGAGAGAAACTGCTGTCAGCGAACCAGCATGAACGTGATCGCGCAGCTCATCCAGCAGTGGAGAGAGGTGTCCACTGAGCAGAACTGAGAGCGATCAAGCAACTCTCCCCCGTGGACAGAGGCTGGCTGCCGCGTGGAGGAGGGCGGCGATACGTATGATGCACTCCCACACACTTCACCGCTCTAAAGGGAGCGAGGCTACTTCTCCTACAAGCGATGCCAACTTCAGCGTATGGCAACGCAAATAATTAATTCCAAACACTGACTATTCAAAACAATTCATATCACTCAAACATACACGGGTCCTTAACCAGCAGCGAACACTCAAGTCCGTGAACCATCTGGCTGTGGAAGCATCGATCGTGTGATAACAGTCCGTCATTTATAAGTATATTCATAATTTCCCTCTTTAATATTTTGTTTTGGACTGTACTTCTAATCGCATAAGTTACCAACCGATCCATCAATACGAATTAACCCTTGGCACCTTCGCCACGGAGCTACGCTCCCAGGGAGGAATCGTGCTAAACCGATTTTCTGATCATACAATCTTATTCACTAATTAATTAATTAATCTCGCGTGAGATAACACGTTCCGCCGCATACCCTCACACTAAGCCATTTCAGTAATCTTATAGTCTGTCCGGTTGATCTGTTGTTACATTTATGCCTTTGGAAATAATAACTGTTTGAGATGGATTTAGGAGGTCACCTCCGAGTGGTAATTTTGTTTTTATTTTCATCGCAGGATCGAGAGGGGGGCAACGGGTTTGGGAAAGAGGAGGCCTTCAATCCAGCAGTGGATTGAGCCTGAGTGGTAATGGTGGTGATGATGATGATGACTGTGTCAACAGCAAGCTGCTCAACACCAACAGCGACAGTGGTATAGTGGTGAGCATAGCTGCCTTCCAAGCAGTTGACCCGGGTTCGATTCCCGGCTGTCGCAGGGGTTATTTATTATTTTAAATTTGTCCGAGTTGAACTCAGATGGAGAGGGAGAGAGAGGGGGAGAGAGAGGTCACAGTGGGAGTCGCAGGAGCTGCTGCTGCTACTGCGGGTGGCCTCGTGCAAGGCGGCACAGCAAGTAGGACTCCCCATCCTGCGTCGTCATCAGCAGCCGCGATCAATCCACTGCTGGATGAAGGCCTGGTGACGTCACTTCACGAGCGGAGTTTTTGTCAGTTTAACACGTAGTAGGCTTTCGCGACCAATATTATTCATAATAAAGGGGTTTTTTTTTAAATGAGTTAAATGATGAAGTCACCCTGCTGCTCTATATAAAACCGGGAGCAAGCGAGGGCTTTACCATTCTGGCGAATTGCCCGATGATGCTGGATGTAATTACCAGCG